GTGGCTGGGTGGATGTGGTGGCTGGGGGGGCACTGCAGTGGCTGGGGTGGACACAGTGACCAGAGTGGACAGTGGCTGGGTGGACGTGGTGGCTGGGGGGGCACTGCAGTGGCTGGGGTGGACGCAGTGACCAGAGTGGACAGTGGCTGGGTGGATGTGGTGGCTGGGTGGGCACTGGCTGGGATGGACATGGTGGCTGGGGGGGCACTGCAGTGGCTGGGGTGGACACAGTGACCAGAGTGGACAGTGGCTGGGTGGACGTGGTGGCTGGGTGGATGTGGTGGCTGGGGGGCACTGCAGTGGCTGGGGTGGACACAGTGACCAGAGTGGACAGTGGCTGGGTGGACGTGGTGGCTGGGTGGGCACTGGCTGGGTGGACGTGGTGGCTGGGGGGGCACTGCAGTGGCTGGGGTGGACAGTGGCTGGGTGGTGTTCTCGCCCAGGGTGGGAGCACCCGGGGACCGGGGTTGGCTCAGCCCCGTCCGCAGCGCCGGGGGCAGAACCTCAAAACCAGGCGTGGGCGGACGCGCTGCCCCCGGGAGGGGTGAGGGGAGGGGCCGGGAGGGGCCGGGACGGGCGCTCACCCGCGGACGTCCATGGGGTCCAGCTCCCTGCGGCGGCGCCCGCCCCCGGCGCCGGGCAGCAGCGAGGCCCGCACGCGGCCCAGCAGGCTGCCGGGCGCGGCCCAGCCGTGGGCGTCGGCGTGGGCGTGGGCGGCGCGTTTGACCGGGTGCTTGCGCAGCTCCTCCTCGCGGCCGTAGTAGGGGAAGATCATCTGCCGGCCCTGCGCGTCCCGCTTGAAGACCACGTTGGTGTGCAGCACGCGGCTGAGCTCCCGCAGGAAGTGGAAGGAGCTGTTGCGCAGGCGCTCGGGCGGCAGGAGCACCACGACCACCAGCGTGCCGGCCGCCAGCCGCTCGGGCACGTGCTCGGCGCAGTCCAGCCCGTCCCACTCGCACTCGGCGCTGTTGCAGCCCTGGTCGCAGTGCCCGTCGCTGAAGTGGTCCTGGCAGTACTGCTCGTACAGGGGGCTGCGGGAGGCGGGCTCAGTCAGGGCTGCTCCGGGGCGCCCCAGCCCCGCCCCCAGCCAGCCCCGCCCCCAGCCAGCCCCGCCCCCAGCCAGCCCCGGGCCACCGTCCCATCCTGCCCCGCCCTCCAGCCCCGCCCCCAGCCAGCCCCGCCCCCCAGCCAGCCTGGGGCCGCCGTCCCATCCTGCCCCGCCCTCCAGCCCCGCCCCCGCCCCGCCCCCAGCCAGCCCCGCCCCCAGCCAGCCCCGCCCCCAGCCAGCCCTGGGCCACCGTCCCATCCTGCCCCGCCCCGCCCTCCAGCCCCGCCCCAGCCTCCTGCCCTGCCCCGCCCTCCTGCCCCGCCCCATCCCCCTGCCCCGCCCCGCCCTCCAGCCAGCCCCGGGCCGTCCCATCCTGCCCCTGATCCCAGCCTCCAGTCCCGCCCCACCCTCCAGCCCCACCCCACCCTCCAGCCCCACCCTCCAGCCCCGCCCCCAGCCAGCCCAGGGCCGCCATCCCATCCTGCCCCGCCCTCCAGCCCCGCCCCCGCCCCGCCCCCAGCCAGCCCCCGGGCATCCCATCCTGCCCCTGATCCCAGCCTCCAGCCCCGCCCCCATCCTGCCCCTGATCCCAGCCTCCAGCCCCGCCCTGCCCTCCAGCCCCACCCCCAGCCCCGGGCCATCCCATCCTGCCCCTGATCCCAGTCTCCAGCCCCGCCCCCATCCTGCCCCTGATCCCAGCCTCCAGCCCCGCTCCGCCCTCCAGCCCCATCCCCAGCCCCGGGCCATCCCATCCTGCACCTGATCCCAGCCTCAGCCCCGCCCCCAGCCCCGCCCCCGCCCCGCCCAGGCCCCGCCTCACTTGCAGTGGCCCTCGGCGCGCTGGCAGTCGAAGCCGTCGAAGAGGCAGCCGGCCGAGTTGCACTGGCTGTCGCAGCGGCCGTCGCTGAAGTACTTCCAGCACTGCAGGGCCTGCGTGCAGTTCTTCCAGGGGTCGTCGAAGTTGAGCGAGCAGTCGCCGCCGTCCCAGCCGCACGCGTGGCTGTTGCACGCCAGGCTGCACACCTTGTTGCCGGCGTCCTCGCGGCACTCGGGCAGCTCGCAGGCCTCCTCGACCGGCGGCGGGGGGATGTCGCGCCCCGCGCCGCCCCCGAAGCTGTAGTCCAGGATGTGGCACAGGAGCCCGTTGAACTTGGCCGGGCACAGGCAGCGGTAGAAGGGGCTCTCGGCCGTGGGCTCACAGGTGCCCTGGTTGTAGCAGGGGTTCCCGGTGAGGCAGGGGCTGCTGGCCGGGAACTGGCACTCGGGGCCGGTGAAGGGGCTCAGGCACAGGCAGGTGGGGCTGCGCGGGCCCGACACGCAGGTGCCGCCGTTGTGGCAGTGCAAGGTGCCGCAGGTGCGGGCGTCGTTCTCACACGTGGCGCCCTCGAACCCCTGCGGGAGGCGTGCAGGCGGGCGCTCAGCGGGCGGCTCCCTGGACGCCACACGCCCGGCCGGCCCCAGTGGCGCCGCGGCTTCCCGTCCCCCGGAGGGCAATGGCCGTCTCCACAGCGGAAAAACCCGGCGCGGCGGGGGTCTGGAGACAGCGGGGTAGGGGGTGGCGGGCGAGCGCCGAGCCTGAACGCAGAGCTCCGTTAGCAACAAGGCATCCACGCCGGCCCGAAACAAACACCCGCAATCGTGCCGCGCCTGTCGCCAAGCGCCTGGGGGCCGGCATCCCATGTGGGCGCCGGTTCCAGTCCCGGCTGCTCCACTTCCAGTCCAGCTCCCTGCTGTGGCCTGGGAAGGCAGTGGAGGATGCCCGGGTACTTGGGCCCTGCACCCGCGTGGGAGACCTGGAGGAAGCTCCCGGCTCCTGGCTTCGGATCGGCGCAGCTCCGGCCACTGCGGCCACCCGGGGACTGAACCAGTGGGGACGGCAGATAACCCCCTCCCCTCCCCACTCTTTCAAAGAAACACGCGAATCCTGAAAAATCACGAAGCAAAAAAGGTGTCCACAGCTGGGAAAACAGCAGAGGGGGCAACACAGACCTCGCTGCCCGAAGCCCAGGGGACAGGACTCTCAGGCCCAGAGGCTCCGCCCCCGGTGCCCACCCTGCTCCCGCCCCTGCAGACCCCAGGACTCGGCACGCCCCCACCTACCGCCGGGCACTTGCAGATGAAGCCGCGGGCAGTGTTGGCGGCCACAGCACAGGTGCCTCCGTTCCTGCAGGGCCTGCTCTTGCAGCCGTTGATAACGGACTCGCAGCGGCGCCCTGGGGGCGGCAGGAAGCGGGGCTCGTGAGGGGCCGCCTCTGCCCGCCTGCCGCGCCCCGGCCCGGGCACCCGCCGGTGTGGCCGCCCCCTGCCCGCCCAGCTGCACCCCGGCCCGGGCACCCGCCAGTGTGGCCGCCCCCTGCCCGCCCAGCCGCACCCCGGCCCGGGCACCCGCCGGTGTGGCCACCCCCTGCCCGCCCAGCTGCAGCCCTGGCCCGGGCACCCGCCGGTGTGGCCGCCCCCTGCCCGCCCAGCTGCACCCCAGCCCGGGCACCCGCCGGTGTGGCTGCCCCCTGCCCGCCCAGCCGCGCCCCGGCCTGGGCACCCACCGGTGTGGCCGGCGCGGCACTCGCAGTGGAAGCCGTTGACGCGTTGCACACAGTTCTGGGTGCCGCGGGCGTCACAGGGGTCGGACAGGCACTCGTTGACGTCGCCCTCGCACCGCTCGCCCACGAAGCCGGGCGGGCAGCTGCAGCTGTAGCCGCCCACCTGGTCCACGCAGGTGCCGTTGTTGAAGCAGCGGGGGCTCCGCGTGGCGGGGTCCAGCGCGGGGCTGCAGTCGTCCACGTTGATCTCACAGTGCACGCCTGCGGGGCGCGGGCGGTCAGGGCCGGGCCCGCGGGGCGCACGGGGCGGGGGCTGGGCGGCCGGGCCGGGGCGGGCACTCACCCTGGGTGCCCCGGGGGCAGGAGCACTTGTAGGTGTTGGTGAGGTCGATGCAGGTGCCCCCGTGCTGACAGGGCAGGGACAGACACTCGTTGACCTCCAGGGAGCAGTTGGCGCCGTGGTAACCAGCCGCGCACTGTGCGGGCAGAACGGGGGGCGGGGCTCAGCACCCTCACCCGACAGACCTGGGGGCCCCGGGCAGGGCCTCTGCAAGCTGAGGGGAGGGGGCCGGGCCCCCCGTGCCAGCCCTCGGCACAGCCTTGTCCTCCCAGCCGTCCCCCCACGGACCCCCGGCCGGGCCCCACCTTGCAGGAGTAGCCGCCCAGGTAGTCGACACAGGTGGCCCCGTTCTGGCAGGGGTTGGGCGAGCATTCGTCCACCTCCTCCTCGCAGTAGCTGCCTGTGTAGCCGGCCTGGCAGCGGCAGCGGTGCGTGTCGCCCGCGTCCACACAGAGGCCCCCGTGCTGGCACAGCTGGGCCACGTCGATGCCTGCGGGGACGGCACGCGGGCAGGTGAGGCCGGGCCCCGCGCTGGCGGCAGAGCCCCAGCACGCGCCGGGCGCCGGGCGTTACCTCGCTTGTGCGCGGCCACCTCGCAGGACACGCTGGGCACGTCGCAGTGCAGGCCGGTCCAGCCGCTGTGGCACTCGCAGTGGTAGCGCGTGCTGGTCTGCCAGCACCTGCCACCGTTCTTGCAGGGCGAGGACTCACACCAGCGCACGAGGCTCTGCGGGCGGCAGGGGTCAGCCGCAGGCGGCAGGGGTCAGCCACGGGCGGCAGGGGTCAGCCGCGGGCCGCAGGGGTCAGCCGTGGGCCGCAGGGGGTCAGCCGCAGGCGGCAGGGGTCAGCCGCGGACCGCAGGGGGTCAGCCGCGGGCCGCAGGGGGTCAGCCGCGGGCCGCAGGGGGTCAGCCACGGGCGGCAGGGGTCAGCCACGGGCGGCAGGGGTCAGCCGCGGGCGGCAGGGGTCAGCCGCGGACCGCAGGGGGTCAGCCGCGGGCCGCAGGGGTCAGCCACGGGCGGCAGGGGTCAGCCGCGTGCGGCAGGGGTCAGCCGCGGGCCGCAGGGGGTCAGCCGCGGGCCGCAGGGGGTCAGCCGCAGGCGGCAGGGGTCAGCCGCGGGCCGCAGGGGGTCAGCCGCGGGCCGCAGGGGGTCAGCCGCGGGTGGCAGGGGTCAGCCGCGCCCGCCACAAACCCAGACAGTGAAGCCTGTCATCGGCAACGCCCACTGGGAGCCATCCACTGAAGACAGACAGGCGGTAATCCCGCCCTGTTCCACGAGGGGCCCTATCGTGGCCACCCATCTCCCGCCGGTGGCCCGCATTCCCACCCCAGCTCCAGAAACCTGGGCGGTGTCTCCTGCCTCTGCCTCTGGCTCCTCCCACGGCGGCACTGGCCGGGGCGGCCGGCAGCCGTGACGACCCAGCGCCCGCCCTCACCTGGCAGTTGAGGCCGGTGTAGCCCTGGGGGCAGGTGCACTTGTAGGTGCCGTAGCCGTCCTGGCAGGTGCCGCCGTGCAGGCAGGGCCGCGAGTCGCACTCGTTGACGTCGTGCTGGCAGTAGCTGCCGGTGAAGCCGGCCGGGCACAGGCAGGTGAAGGAGTCGATGCCGTCCACGCAGGTGCCGCCATTGAAACAGGAGCTGGGGTGGCAGGCAGTGGGGAGCAGGCTCAGGGTGGGGGTCCCTGCTCGGGGAGGCTCCTGCAAGCCAGCGTCCTCCCTTCGACTCGAGCCATCGGGGCCCGTCGGCCAGGACAGGCCGGGAGCAGCCTGGCTGACCACAGGGAGGCCGCAGACCCTCACTGCTCAGCCGTCTCCCTGCAGACGGGGGCTTCGCCACACGCCCAGGGACGCGGGGGTTAAAGTAGGAGGCAGGAGGGCACAGGGCACAGGACCAGGGACGGCGCTGGCCGGCGTGCAGTGCCGAGTTTCCTGGCGGCCACGGCAAGGAGCAAACGAGACCGGGACAAAGTTCTCGCCTGCGGGTGTGGGACACACCTGCCCTGCTGAGTTCTCCTGCATTTGCATTTCATTGTACGGGAAAGGCAGAGGAGCAGAGAAACTGAGACAGGCATCCAGACCCCCACCCACATCTCCCACGTGCCTGCAGGGGCCCGGGCAGCTGAGCCATCGCTGTGGCCCCCCAGGACCGGCACGGGCAGGAAGCTGGACAGGAAGTGGGCGTGGCCAGGACCACCCCAAGCTTCCCAGCCCCAAGCACCTGCAGGCTGAACCCCCTGGGCCAGGGCAGCAGGTCACGAGCCCCCCCACCCCGGGGACGCCACACTGCAAGGGCCTGGACTGACTCCCGGCTCCTGGCTCCCAACTCCGGCCCCCCGCCCTGGCCCCGGCCCCCACCCCCCGCCCCCGACCTCCGGCCCCCCGGCCCAAAACTCCAGCCCCCTGACCTCCGGCCCCCGCCCCCAGCCCCGGCCCCTGACCTCCGGCCCCCGGCCCCCAGCCCCCCGCCCCCAGCCCCCACCCCGCACACCTCTCCGTGCAGTCCGGGATGTTGATCTCGCAGTGGATCCCGTTGAAGCCGGGCGGGCAGGTGCAGGTGTAGCCGCTCACGCAGTCGGTGCAGTTGGCGCCGTGCCGGCAGGGGTTGCTGGCGCACTCGTTCACGTCCTCCTCGCAGAAGGCGCCCTGGAAGCCGGGCAGGCAGTCGCAGAAGGCCGCGTTCACGCCGTCCGTGCAGGAGCCGCCGTTGTGACATGGGTCTGGGAGGGGCGGAAGGGCAGGCCTGAGCGGGGCCGTCACTGCGGCCATCGGCCAGCCCCCTGGAGCCCCCACCCACGGCCCACCTCCTGTGTGGCGTCTGTCTCCCCACGGGGCTCCCAGGAGAGCCGAAGAGACGGACGGAGCATTCTGCCACCGCCTGGGGGCGCCACGCAGAACCTCGGCTCCCCCAGAGCTGAGCTGTGTGCGGCCCAGCTGGCCGCCGGCTCCTCGGCCTCCCAAAACCACCTGGGCCAGCCTGGGGGCGCCTGCGGGAGCCCCGTCCCGCCCACGTCAGCACAGCAGGCGGAGGGCTGGGCGGCCTCTCCGGGTGCCACCGGCCAGCACCAGCCGGACGCCCCGTCCTCCCCGGGGCCACTCACTCGGCCGGCAGTCGTCGATGTCGGTCTCGCAGCTGCGCCCCGTGTAGCCGGGCCGGCACAGGCAGTGGAAGCCGCCGTGGGTGTTCCGGCAGGAGGCGCCGTGGCGGCACGGGTTCTTCACACACTCGTTGATGTCGATCTCACAGGTCTGCCCTGCGGGGGAGGGGCCCAGGCCGCTCAGGCACCTGCAGCCCCCACTCGCCAGGCGGGGCGCACCCCAGGCCACGCCTCTCCTCCGCCCGCCCAGCCGTGGGGTCAGGGGAGCTGGGGACAGGAAGGGTCCTGCCCTGCAGGCCGCCGCCCGGGACCTCCCACCGTCCACCGCGGGTCCCTCGGGGGCCAGCCTCACCCTGCCAGCCCGGGGGGCAGACGCAGGAAAAGCTCTCGTAGTCCTCGGATTCCTGGCACTCGCCGCCATTTCTACAGGGGCCGGGGGCGCAGGGGGCCAGGATCGCCTCACATGTGGCTCCTACGGGGAGGGGGCGCGCGGTGAAGCCTCGACCGGGCCAGCACCCCAGGCCGGCACCCGTGGGACAAGTGGGACCCTGAATGGGGGCGACAGCTGGGCACAGATGGACGGGGCCGCAGGCCCAAGCCCCTGGCCCCGGGCCGCTGCACACAGCCCTGACTTCCTGTTTACGGGCGCGGGGCTGGCGTCCCCCGCTATCTCCCGCGTCCCCGCTATCGCTTCCCAGGGCCTTTCTTCCCATCGGTTTCCAGGGCGACCCGGGCAGGCAGGAACAGGGGCCAGCGTTTCCGACAATTGTGCAAGGGAAGCGGGGAGCGGGCAGACAGGAAGCGGTCAGCACAGCCCGCACCGCCCGCTGGCCAGAGGCAGGCGGCGGCCGGGGCCTCAGGGGCGCCCCGTGCGGCGGGAGGGGCGAGACCCAGCCCCTGCCTTCCGTCACCGAGAACACCCACGGCTACGCCGCTGTCCTGGAACCCTGGGCCCCAGCCTGGGGGCCCGACTCCACAGGTCCTCAACCAAGGGGGTTGCTTCCCACGGCCCCCGTGGCTGCAGGCACGGCAGGCGCTGGGACCCCTCCTCTGCTCCCTGGTCCCCACACAGGGGACCCCTGTCCAAAGGACCCCTCAGGCCGGCTCCCGGGGGAGGGCACAGCCCTCAGCCGGGCGTTCCGTGTCTCCGCTAACCTGGCAACCCCTCCCCCAGGTGCAGGCCCACATTTTGGGCAGCCGGCAGTGGGCTTACTGAGACTCCTTGCAGAACCTCCTGGAACACCTGTTGAGACCCACTGAGCCAGGCCCCGGCCACACGCAGCCACACCTGGTCACGCCCGGCCACGCCTGGTCACGCCCAGCCACGCCTGGCTCACCTGTGTAGGGCAGCAGGCAGTTGCACTTGTACCCGGCCACGTCGTCCATGCAGGTGCCCTGGTTTAGACAAGGGTTGGACGCACACTCGTTGATGTTGGTCTGGCAGTTGGAGCCTGCAGGAGTGGACAGCGGTCAGCATGTGGGCCGCTGCAGGAGCCCGGGGCCTGCTCCACGGGCCCCCAGCCCCCTCCTGTCCCGAGCAGAGGCCAGGCGCCCCGGGGGCGAGGCCGTGGGAGCTGGGCGCGCCGGCTCACCGCTGAAGCCTTCGCGGCAGGTGCACACGTAGCCGCCCGTCATGTCGCGGCAGCTGCCGCCGTTGACGCAGGGGTTGGACTCGCACTCGTTGTTGTTGGTGTCGCAGTTCGTGCCACCCCAGCCGGGGGCACAGTCGCACGTGTACCTGTGAGGCAGCCACACGGCGGGTCGGACGTGGGTCTGGCTGCGGGCCGTCAGCGGCCCAGAGTCGGGGCCCCTGGACCCGCAGCTGAGGCTGTGCCAGACCTGGGACAGCGCAGGGCAGGGGCCACGGCTGGGGGTCCTCCCCTCCTCCCCCACTGTGGATGCCGGGCAAAGACTGGGGGGCCCCTGCCGGTTCCGACGGCGCCACCCAGGCCAGGGACCCACGGGTGTCTCAGGCCCACTCTGGCCCGGTGTGGGGCACCTGCTCCCGGCCGTACCCGTTGAGGCCGTCCCTGCAGACCCCGTGGACGCAGGGGTCGCTGCTGCACTCGTTGACCTCGGACAGGCACGTGGGCCCGTGGTAGCCCTCGGGGCAGCGGCAGCTGAAGCTGTTGACGCCGTCCTCACAGGTGCCCCCGTTATGGCATGGGCTGCCGGCACACTCGTCAATGTCCACGTTGCACAGGCTGCCTGCGGGCAGGGGCGGGGCTCAGAGACTCCCTCATGGTGGGGGCAGCCACGCCCTCGCTTCCCCGTGGGTCAACCCGGGACAGCGCACTGCCCCTCCGCACTTCCCAGGTGGCCACAGCCCCAGCCAGCCTGGCGCCGCCCATACCCAGGCTACCCAGTGGGTGCCTGTGGCCCAGGGAGGCCGCAGACAGAGATGGACACACACCCAGGGGCCTGGCCTGCCCACAGCCTGCGCCCTCACTGCCCACCAGGCCACGGTATGGGGCCCAGCCTGGGCTGGAGGGATGACCGGGGACAACGGGCACACGGGTGCCGGCCTGGCCCACCCAGGCACTCTGCTGCAGCTGGCTCGGGCCCCTGCCACCCCTGGCCCTCGGGCCCCGCTCACCTGTGTAGCCCGGCTCGCAGGCACACTCGTAGCCGTCAATCTTGTCCAGACAGGTGCCTGAGTCGCAGGGGTTGCTGGCACAGTCGTCCAGGTTGATCTCGCAGTTGGGGCCTGGGGAGAGAGGCGGGGCCGTCAGCCCCAAGCCCCGCCCCTGCCGGCGCCCCGCCCCCGCCGGCCCGGCCCGGCACCTGTGGTCCCCTTGAGGCAGAGGCAGAGGTAGGCGTTGTCGCGGTCCTGGCAGGTGGCCCCGTGGCGGCAGGGCTGGCTGTAGCACTCGTTGACGTTGGTCTCACAGTGGTGGCCGGTGTAGCCGGGCCGGCAGACGCAGGTGAAGGTGGCGACACCGTCCTTGCAGGAGCCGTAGTGACAGGGGTCAGGGACGCACTCGTCAATGTCCACCTCGCAGTGGGTCCCCGTGTAGCCTGCGTGGCGGGAGGGGTGGGCACCGGAGGGCTCGGGACGCTGCCAGCCAGGCCGGGCCAGCGCACCCCCGGGAGGAAGGCAGGCGTGCGGGGCAGGGGATGGGGCGCTCCCACCCCCCGCCGGCGTCAGAGCAGAGCCACGCTCCGGCCCGGGTGTGCCAGGTGTGCCGCGCGGGCCCCGCACCTTCGGCGCACACGCAGGTGTAGGTGTTGGGCCCGTCCAGGCACTTGGCGCCGTTCTTGCAGGGCGTGCTGGCGCACTCGTCCACGTCGTACTGGCACAGGTGCCCGCTGAAGCCTGCGGCCGGGCAGGGGCACCTTCAGTGCTGGCTCCGCCCACAGCCTACCGCCAGTCCTCCCCCAAACCCACTCCCGCCTGCCCAGGGGTCTGAGGCTGCTGGCGACCATCTCAGGAGGAGGCTCGAGGCCGACCCCGGACGTCCCCCCCGCCCCGGGCCTCACCGGTGGGACACTCACACACAAACCCGTGTCCATCTCAGGAGGAGGCTCGAGGCCGACCCTGGACGTCCCCCCCGCCCCGGGCCTCACCGGTGGGACACTCACACACGAACCCGTGTCCATCTCGGGAGGAGGCTTGAGGCCCCGCCCCGGACGCCCCGCCCCGGGCCTCACCCGTGGGACACTCACACACGAACCCGTGTCCATCTCGGGAGGAGGCTCGAGGCCGACCCCGGACGTCCCCCCCGCCCTGGGCCTCACCCGTGGGACACTCACACACGAACCCGTGTCCATCTCGGGAGGAGGCTCGAGGCCCCGCCCCGGACGCCCCGCCCCGGGCCTCACCCGTGGGACACTCGCACAGGAAGTCGTTGGTCTTGTCCAGACAGCGGCCGTTGTGCAGGCAGGGGCTGCTGGCACACTCGTCCGTGTTCACCTCGCAGTGCACGCCCTCGTAGCCTGTGGCGGGGACCGGGGCGGTCAGCCGGGGGCTCCCCTACAGCCCCTGCAGGCCGGATGCCCGGACGCCCAGCACCCCCCCGCTGCGCCCCCACGCCGCCCGCCGCCCCAGCGACCCTGCGCCTCCCCGGCGCCCCCACGCCACGCCGCCCCGCACGCACCGGGCATGCAGATGCACTGGAACTCCCCGATCTGGTCCAGGCAGGTGGCGTCGTTCCGGCAGGGGCTGGAGATGCACTCGTTCACGTCCATCTCGCAGCGCGGGCCCGTGTAGCCCTGCAGGCACTGGCACTCGAAGGACCCCAGGGTGTTCAGGCACTTGCCCGCGTGCTCGCAGGGGTTGGCGCCTGGCGGGGTGGGGGGTGCAGGTCAGGGGCCGCTGTGGCCCAGGGCCTCGGCTCGGGCACCCCGGGACCCCCGTGCCTACCCAGGGCGCACTCGTCCACGTCCTGGCTGCAGGCTGGCCCCGTGTAGCCCGAGGGGCAGGTGCAGATGGCCTTGCCGTTCACAGGGTTGGTGTCACAGTTGGAGCCCTCATTGCAGGGGTTGCTGATACACGCGTCGTTGAGGTGGCACAGCAGGCCTGGGGGGCAGGGCGGACGGTGGTCACCCCCAACACCAGGGGGCAGGGCGGACGGCAGTCACCCCCCGACACCCAGGGGACAGGGCGGATGGCAGTCACCCCCGACACCCAGGGGACAGGGCGGACGGCGGTCACTCCCAGACACCCAGGAACAGGGTGGACGGCGGTCACCCCCGACACCCAGGGGACAGGGCGGACGGCGGTCACCCCCGACACCCAGGGACAGGGCGGACGACCGTCATCCATCCCCGACACCCAGGGGGCAGGGCGGACGGCGGTCACCCCCCGACACCCAGGGACAGGGCGGACGGCGGTCACCCCCCGACACCCAGGGACAGGGCGGACGGCGGTCACCCCCCGACACCCAGGGGGCAGGGCGGACGGCGGTCACCCCCCGACACCCGGGGGCAGGGCGGACGGCGGTCACCCCCCGACACCCAGGGGGCAGGGCGGACGGCAGTCACCCCCCGACACCCAGGGGGCAGGGCGGACGGCGGTCACCCCCCGACACCCCGAGGAGCCTCCCCCCACGGCCCTCCCTCCGACCCTCGGGTTTTTCCCGCCCCCGTGGGCCCCGCCCCCTCGCTCACGCTGGCCCTGCCCGGCCGGGGCGCCCGCGGGCCCGGCACCCACCCGTGCGGCCGTGCGGACACTCGCAGTAGAAGGAGGCCACGCGGTCGTGGCACGTGGCGCCGTGGAAGCAGGCGGCGCTGGCGCAGTCGTCGATGTTCTCGCTGCAGTCCTCGCCGGTCCAGCCGTTGACGCACACGCAGTTGTAGCCGCCGTGGCTGTTGTGGCAGGTGCCGCCGTTCTGGCAGGCGTTGGGCATGAGCTGGCACTCGTCCACGTCCTCCGTGCAGTACTGGCCTGCGGGGCGGGGGCAGGTGACCGTCCGCGGGGCGCTCCCCGCCCACCACGTGCAGGGCTGCGGTGCCACCCCCTCCAGGAAGCCCTCCTGGGCCGGCCCCACCCTGGCTCCTTCCTGTGCCCAGCACACGGGGGCTCTCGTCTTGCCGCGGTGCGGTGTCGGCTGCTACCCTTGCCTGCATCCCCCAGGGAGGGGCCCCGGGGCAGGTGCAGCTGCCATGCTGTGCCGGAGGATGGGGGGGAGACTGGCGGAGGGCGGGGCCGCCTCCCGCGGCGCACCTGTCCACTCCGGCGGGCAGCGGCAGTTGTAGGTGTTCACGCCGTCCACGCAGGCGCCCCCGTTCTTGCAGTTGTTGGCGGGGCAGTCGTCCACATTCTCCTCGCAGTTCTGCCCGGTGAAGCCTGCGGCAGGGGAGCCGGGGCCGCATGAGCCTCGGCCCGCACCCGGCTCCTCGCCCTGCGGCGCCTGCGCCCAGGCTGCGCCCCGGGACCACAGGTGACCGCCCTCGTGGGAAGCCACCGCGAGACGGGCTGGCAGCCACACAGGGCATTCAGGGACACTGGGGTCTGGAAGGTTCTGTGGGAACCCCCCAAACAAGTCCCCAGTGGTGCCCAACGGGGCACCGTCCACGGCAACCTCGTCTCCTGGGGCTGACGCTGCGGTCTCCAGGCTCTGAGCCCCTGGCCGGCAGCTCCAGGGAGGGCAGGGGCGCAGCCTTGGGCTCCCGGCGCGGCCCCGGCACCAGGCGGTTACGCATTAATCCGCTCACCCTCCCCGGTTCAATCATCAACCCAGAAAGGCGTCTGGCAACAGCCAAACCTGCGCCGGTTACTGATTAAGGGCCCTCCCAGGGCGCCTCTGAGCCCCACCTGCCCCGCCCCCGCTCCCAGGGCCCCACCCAGCGTCCCCCACCACCACACTGCAGCCAAAGCCCGAGGCCGGGAATAGTCGGTGCAGACCGGACAGCGGTTTGGGGGCAGCCCCCTGGTCAGAGCCCAGAGCCAGGGGTCCAAGGCCCGGACCCCGAGCACCGGGCTCTGGCCTGTGGCCTGGGCAGTGGAGAGGGAGGGCGTGTGAGAGCACACGTGGACTGGCCAGCTCTGCCCACGCAGCCCTTCCCTGGAAACAGGGCCAGCAGGGACCCGGGAGGGGCTGCCCAGGGCTCGTTGCGGGGTTGGGGGTGACGGCTGTGGGCTCAGAGCCAGGCCCGCTCACGGGGAAGCCAGGGCTGGCGGAGTGCGGGGCGGTCCCAGCCTCCGTGTCCGCTGTGACCATCACGCAGGTCTCCCTGACACCCGCAGGGTCTGTGGGTGGTGTCTGGGCAGCGGCTCAGCTCTGCACCCGGGATGGCTGACCCCGCCCCAGGCCGGGCGTCCCCTCACCAGAGGCACAAGCCGGCCCCCGGCTCTCAGGCCTCAGACCCATGTGCTCCCGGCGCAAGGACCCCACCGGCCACCGGCCACCCTTCTTCCCTCCCAGCACTGCCCGGGGCCAGGCCGGCAGCTCTGAGCAGGCCGCGTGGCCTTCCCCCAGCCTGCCCAAGCTATCACGTGACAAGGCCCCTCACGCCTCACCTCCCCACCTGCACCCTGGCCGTCCCAACCCAGGACCCCGCTGCCCCAGGGGTCCACCCAGCCCGAGGGCTCTGCCCCGCCCTCCAGAAAGCCGAGTCTGTGGGCAGGGCTGGGGGGCACCACCCATCTTCCCACCAGGAGACTGCGAAGCCCTGGGGATTGCGAAACAGTGCACGCCCACCCCACGGGGGAGGGCGGAGACCCCAGGGCCCCGGAGGCAGGTGGGAGACGGGAGGGACGGCCCAGGCTGGCGACTCCAAGGAGCCTGGCACTGGGGGTCCTGCTGGCCCAGCCACAGGCTTTAACCCCAAGCAGCACCGCAGGTGGGGACCCGGCTGGGCCAGCGTCAGCTTGGCTTCCGGCCTGGCCCCGGCCTCGTGCGGGCCTCCTCCTAGGCGCACCTGCTGCCCGGCTGCCCAGGCGTGCGCAGCAGGCGGGACCTACCCGGCAGGCAGGCGCACTCGTGCGTGGTGTCCCCCGTGGGGCGGCAGGTGCCCCCGTTCTGGCAGGGCGACGGGCTGCAGGGCACGAAGGGCAGCTCGCAGTGGGGGCCGGTGTGGGTGGCGCGGCAGGCACAGCGGTAGGAGCCCACCTCGTTGTGGCACGTGCCCCCGTGGCGGCACAGCCCGGGGTTGCTGGCGCACTCATTCACGTCCTGCCTGCATGTGGGGCCGTGGAAGCCGGGCAGGCAGCCGCAGATGTAGGAGGACTCGAAGGGCAGGCACTGGCCGCCATTGGCACAGGGGTTGGAGGCACACGGGTCTGCCTGCTGGCACGACTTCCCTGGTGGGGGAGGGGTGGGAGAGAGGGGAGGCAGTCAGCCCCCAGGTCACTGGGGAGGGGCCTCAGGCGTGACCCCGTGCGGCCCCCAGCATCTGCTCCGTGGTCATTCTTTCTGCACACACCGAGGGCCCGAGTGACCGCCCCCTGCCTGGGACAGCAGCCGGTGGGGCGCGGTGGCCTGGAGCCTGGAACCCCCACACGGGGTCAGGGGCGGGTGGGGGCGGACACAGGGCACCCCTGGAAGGCAGGCCAGGGCCTGGGCCCCCACCCTCACCTGACCAGCCTGGCGGGCAGCGGCACTTGAACTCGGCCAGCGTGACCAGGTCGCAGGTGCCCCCATTGCGGCAGGGGTTGGTGACGCAGGCGTGGTCGAGGGGCGTCAGGCACAGGGGTCCGGAGAAGCCCAGGGGGCAGCTGCAGGCGTAGTCCACGGCGCCGCCGCGGTCCACCACGTGGCACGTCCCCGCGTTCCGGCAGGGGCTGCTGAGGCACGGGCTGGGGTCCTGGCACCGCGGGCCCACGAAGGCCCCGCTGCAGCTGTTGGCACACAGGCAGGCCGGTTAGCACCGCTCGGCGCGGACACCTGCCACGGACTCAGCTGCCCCGGACAGCCGGGTGCGGGCGCCAGGGCCTCCTCGGGGAGGCGGGCAGGGGGCGGCCGCACGATACGCCGCTTCCCTGCACTGCTTAATGTCACCTCCAAAGGACAGTGACTGCTGACTGGGGGAACAGGCTGCAGACGGGAACGTTCCAGAAAGACCTGGCTCAGGCTTCAAACCCAGCCAGGCCGTGCTGACCCCAGGGGGCCGCCCTGTGATGGAGACCACCCTGTGTACGGGGCTGGGAAGCAGGGCGACACCTGGACTAACGGACGGACGCTGTCTCCCACACAGGGCGCCTCCCCCCGAGGAGGCCGAGCCCCCGACAGCAGCAGGGCTCCGCGACACATCCAGATGGCACTGGCCAGCGGCCACAGCTGGGGAAACCAAGGGGGCACTGGTCCCTGCCCGCCTCCCCCCAGGACCCACGGTCCGGGCCTGGCCTCGCAGGGTCCCCGGCCACCTGCTGGCCTGGTCAGGGGCGGCCTCGCTTTCTCGGCAGCAGAGCCAACCAGAACGGCCGCGTGGGGAGACGGTCCCCGGGCCGGGCACACCCCAGGCCTGCACCTGAGCCCTTGCTGCCGACAGTCCCGGTCCGCGTGCTGCTGGCTCCGCCCCCGCCCGGGGCAGGGGTCTGTGGGCCCCACCCCACAGGCCCGGGGGCATCTGTCTCCCCTGCAGGCTTCATCTGCGGCCACACCTCGGGCAAGGGGGACACAAAATGGCCACTCCACTGACCATCTGCAGCCAGAAAGCCACAAGTCCCCACCCAACCAACCAGGCTCCAGGAACACACCCCGCCCCCGGGCGGCCGGGCCTGGGACCCTGGGACCAGCGAGCAGGCACAGCCCCGAGGAAGGCGCGCCCTCACCCGCCTCTCCTGCGGGGCCCCCGCGCGTGAGGTCCAGTTACAGGCGGGCCAGGCCGCATCAATGCCCCATTGTCACGGGCGGGAGCTGGCCGGGGCTCCCACTGCGAGAAAGAGCTCTTTCTCCTTTCCCAGCCGCTGACGAAAGCAGCAGGGGGTGGGGGCGGGACACAGGGCGCCCGCTCATCAAAGCCGCGGCTCCCGGCACACACACTGGGCCCCTCCCCAGCCAGGCTCCGAGGCAGGAAGCCCACCGCTCACAGCCAGGGCCGCCCCATCACCGGTCCCTGGCAGACACGGGGGGCGGTCAGAGCAACGGAGTGCCCCAAGGTGATGGGACACGGGGGCCTGCCCAGACCTCACCCCCCCCCGGCCACCCAGGGGGGCACCTGTGGGAGACCTGCCCAGGCCAGAGGCATCCCCGTCACCGCGGCCGTGTGACGCTGGGCCGTCCCCGGGGAGAATACACCAATAAATCAGGCGTCGGCAGGCGGACAAAGCAGCTGGGAGCAGGTGCGCCCGCGGGTGGATGGGGCAGCAGCTGCTCCCGCCGGGCCGGCTGGCAGCCAAGCCCGGCGGGTGGGGCAGGAGCCGGGCGGCCGGCCGAGGAGAATGTGGGGGAATGCAGTGGCTGAGAGGGCCCATTGTCCTCCACTGCCACCCCGGGCTCCGGGGGCCGCACCGAGGCGCGCTGCCCAAGGGCCTGCCGTGGGGCGGCCAGCACCTACCACTCACACCCCAGAGCCACGGCACAGGCAGGGCCACGGGAGGGGTGGGGTGGGCCCTGGCTCAGCCGGGAGGCGGCGGAGGGGCTTGGGAGTGCGGGCAAGGGTGCAGCTTTGGGGCCATGCCCGGCCCCCACACCCAGGCCCCCGCTCCAGCTCCAGGTGGCCTCAGCCTGGGCCCACCTGGCCACGGAGCTGGGCTGCCCGGGGACTGACACCTGTTGCGCCTCCTCTCCCCAGTGCCCAGCTGTCCCTTGAAGGGGTGCAGCTCAGCCCAACCTCTGGAGCGGCCATTCTGTCCTGCACACCTGTGCTGGCAGGTGGGTGTGGACGCTGGGGACACCCCACGGGAGTCCTGGCCAGGGCCACGCGGAGCGACCCACGACACCCCCGCCGCCTGTGGCTCCTCCTTCCTCCCAAGATGGACGCAGCCGCCCTGGCCGGGACAAGAGCGGCACTGTCCCCCCACCCCCTGCAGCCCCCACGGCACAAGCCCAGCCACAGAGATGGGCTCCCCTCCAAGTCCCCACCTGAGGTCAGCGGCCACTGCTCATGCACCTGCCCTCCCGGCCCCCACGGCACTCGGTGGCCTGGCCGCTCAGGTGAGCAGCAGGTGGCTGGGGGCGCGGACGCGGCCGGGCCTCTGCCTCGCTTTGTTCCGGGCGTCGCCCGCCCTCCACAGCAATGCGGCTCCAGAAAGCGTCGGAGGCAGATGTTGCCGTGACCTTTCACCCGGGACTAATTCTAAATTGTGCTGTTTTCCTTTCTAAGCTAAGTGGCCATCTGCCACCCCGGGGTCAGGCGACGGCTCCCCCTGCGCACAGTGACGAGGGGGAGGGGCTGAGCGGGACGAGGCGAGCGGTTTCTGTCCAGCCGGAGGGTGGGGCAGTGTGGGGCCCCTCATCACGCGGAACCAGAGGGGCTCCCTCTGATGGACAGCGGGGGCCCGGAGGAGGGGCCCCCAGCCAGATGTGCACCTGCCCATGCTGGCGTCACCTTCCCGCGAGTGCCTGGGGCATGGCAGGGAGCAGCCCCCGGCCACCAGCCCAGACTCTGGCTCTGGCCGAGGCCAGGCTGGACTGGCACAGGTGAGGTGCACCTGCTAAAGGCAGCTGTGCAGAGGACACCCAGGACTCCCATGGCACCCGGGTGCCCCGCCCCACCCCAGGGGCCTGCGGTGGGGAAAAGCCTGGAAACCGAGGCCGGTGCGGGGCTGTGCTCCGCAGGGGGGCGGGGGGCAGAGCCCCACGCAAGGGCTGAAGCCAGGCACCGGCCGGCCCCGCCCACCACCCCAGGCAGCCCGTGTCCCTGGGAACAGAGGGGAGGCAGCCCTGGCTTTAATTAGCCCCGGCCCGGCTCCCCCTGTGCTGGGAGACCTGCCCAGGTACACGCCCCCCCCAGGGCCCCCTGGCTCAGCTCCCAGCCCATCTCCCGACACACACAAGTCCAAAGTTTCCCGGACGGCAGGTGATAAATGGGGGTCATCTCCTCCCCAGATGCCCACCGCGCTGCCTGCTCCTGGGAAGCCGGGGCCAGACCCTGCCGGGCTCTGCCTCCCCCACCCAGCCCTGACTGGCCTCCTGCCCAGGGAGGAGTGGGGGGTCTCACTGCACCTGCCTGGGTCCCCACAGGGCATCAGCCACACCACCATCAAAGCACGGCTCAGCCTGCCCCACCCCACAGCCCGACCCTGCCGACCCCCCCGCCCCCAGCAGCTGCCTTCTGCCCAAACCACAGCTGCCCTGCCGCACTCACAGCCTGACCCCCACCCCGCCATCCATCACCCCCGCCAGGGCAAATGGGTCAGTGCAGGCTGGGTGGGGACAGGAAGGGGACCCCAAGGCTCCTGCCGCTGGGAGAGGCCAGATTAGGCCTGAGAACAGAGGGCCAGCGAGCCCAGGGCCGTCCCAGGCCGAGCGGCCCAGACCCCGCCAGGAAGCACGGCTGCTGACGAATGAAGTGCTCACGGCAGGCTGGGCAGGGGCTCCCCGGAGGTCCTGGGCAGAGCCCCACACGGCACGGAAGGCCGCAGGCTGCCCGCACACCTGTCTGAGACCAGCTGGCTGCGTGGGGAGACGGCCCCACCGGGCCCAGCCGGCCGCGTGGGGAGACGGCTCCACAAGCCGCGACTGACTCCCCTTTCCGCTCCCAGCTCCCTCTCCCACAGGGTGCAGGCACGGGGCGCCCACACAGGCCCTGCCCACGGACGGGACGCAGAGCCACGGGCTTGGCGCGGATGCCTCCAACCGCCTGTGGCCTCCCCTGGCCTCCGCGGCAGGCATTAGGCGGGGGCAGCCCGGAGCCGCGCGGGGCCCCGCTCCCCAGCCTCAGCCGGAGGCGCCGCGGAGGGGCCGGCCGGAAGAGAAGGCCGCGGTGGGCACTGGGGAAACCGAGGCGGGCGGCCTTCCGCGCACCCAGGGCTCTGCTGCTGTCTTCCGATCTCCGCCCGAGGCGCGTCCTCTGGGGCTCCAGCAGCCTGCGCGGGGCACAGGAAAGGCCAGCTTCCTTCCCTGCTCCGGGGAAGCCCTTTGTGTGGGGGGCGGCCGGAGCCGGACGGCCTCCCGGAAGCCACCTTTCCCACCACAGGCAAACAATGCCTGAGGCCCCGCTGGCCCCAGCAGCCCCAACCGAGGGGCCTGGGGGCCAGGGCAGGCTCCAGGAGCTTCCGGCAAACAGCCCAGCTGGCCCACAGAGGGGCGTGTGGGGGCACCAGGCCCCGGGGCTGTGAACCCAGGGCCCACGGAGGGGCGCGTGGGGGCACCAGGCCCCGGGGCTGTGAACCCAGGGCCCACGGAGGGGCGCGTGGGGGCACCAGGCCCCGGGGCTGTGAACCCAGGGCCCACAAGGGGCGCGTGGGGGCGCCAGGCCCCGGGGGTGTGAACCCAGGGCCCACGGAGGGGTGCGTGGGGGCACCAGGCCCCGGGGCTGTGAACCCAGGGCCCACGGAGGGGTGCGTGGGGGCACCAGGCCCCGGGGGTGTGAACCCAGGGCCCACGGAGGGGTGTGTGGGGGCGCCAGGGCCCGGGGGTGTGAACCCAGGGCCCACAAGGGGCGCGTGGGGGCACCAGGCCCCGGGGCTGTGAACCCAGGGCCCACGGAGGGGCGCGTGGGGGCACCAGGCCCCGGGGCTGTGAACCCAGGGCCCACGGAGGGGCGCGTGGGGGCACCAGGCCCCGGGGCTGTGAACCCAGGGCCCACGGAGGGGCGCGTGGGGGCACCAGGCCCCGGGGGTGTGAACCCAGGGCCCACGGAGGGGCGCGTGGGGGCACCAGGCCCCGGGGGTGTGAACCCAGGGCCCACGTGGGCGTGGTGGCACCAGGCCCCGGGGGTGTGAACCCAGGGCCC